CGAGTCGCATGTTCGAAGCCTTCAAAACATTGGAATTGGAGCAGAAACGTATGGGAGTTTTCTTTCTCCGGTTATCATGTCAAAGATCCCAGAGGATTTGCGGGTAACGATAACAAGAAATCTCACATCCGAAGAGTGGAATCTACAGCCAATGTTGGAGATCTTTTGTAAGGAATTACAACTTCGTGAAAAATGCCAGTTTTATCCAGGATCTGTCAACACTAGAGAGCCTCGTGCTCCAAATCCACCTGTGCGAGGAGGGCCGTTTGATTCACCGCCAACAACATCTGCTCTGTTCATGAATGGCAACACGCAGTCATGACAGGGTCCTTGGTGCACGTACTGTAGAGGTCAGCATCCCTCGTCGAATTGCACTGTTGTCACTAACGTCGCAACCCGAAAGCAATTTATTCGGCAAAAGGGAAAATGTTTCAAATGTCTGCGGTCAGGGCACCTGGCGAGTCATTGCAGCAGTGACAAAAACTGTCATTTATGCAGACTTAGAGGTCATCACCCCTCTATATGTGAAGCTCAAAAATCGGATGGTGGCAATTCGAAATGGAACTCCAGCGAAGGAGGAAATCAAGGAATTCAGAATTCACCTGTGCAAGCTCCAACTACAAGCATGTTCATCAATGTGAAGAACGGCGTTCTCCTTCAAACTGCGAGCGAATATCTTCAACCCAGCTGGTCATGACATCACTGTTAACGCAAGATTGATCTTCGACAGCAGTAGTCAGAGAAGTTACATAACAGAGGGTCTACAGAAAGCTCTACATCTTCCAGTCTCTGGACGAGACAGTCTGATGATTAAAACGTTTGGAGAATCCACACCTAAGCTGAGGCATTGTGACATAGCTCAACTGGCAGTGGGAACGACAGATGGCATGACCATTTACGTTACTGCGTATGTGGTCCCACTCATATGTACTCCAGTGAGTAATCAGATGATTGAGTTCACGCAAGCAAGTTATCCCCACTTGCAGTGCTTGGAGTTGGCCGACAACACGCAGGGCACTGATGAATTGAACATCAACCTCTTAATTGGAGCAGATTTCTACTGGCATTTCGTCAATGGAATTACCATTCGTGGCCCAGAACCAAGACTTGTAGCACTATCCACTAGACTCGGTTATATTTTATCTGGCCCAGTGAACATTCCAGTTCCTTGTCACGAGGATTCCACAGTTAATCTGACGGAAACGCATGTACTTGAAATCTCTGCCAGTGTGTGTGATGAGGAGATCTCACTCGATCAGCAAGTGAAACAATCCTGGGACCTCAAAACACTAGCAATCAAAGAGAACGAACCAACGGTCCATGAGAAGTTCATCACAGACATCAGACACGATGGAGAGAGATACGAAGTAAAGCTGCCGTTCAAGGAATTCCATCCTGTTCTACCAGACAACTATCAACTGAGCAAACGAAGATTAGGATCCCTCTTACAGAGGCTCAAGTCAAAGCCGCAAGTCCTCGAACATTACGACGAAATAATTCGCGATCACCTAAGGAACAATATCATTGAAGCCGTCACTTCAGAAAGGGAACCAGATGCAGGGAGAGTACATTACCTGCCTCACAGAGAAGTAATCAGAATGGAAAAGGAGACCACCAAGATCCGCGTTGTTTGACGCCTCCACGAAGCGAAATGGGCTGAGCCTAAACGATTGCCTCTACTCAGGACCACCCCTCAATCCTTTGATCTTTGAAGTCCTAGCCAGATTTCGAGCTCACAAGGTTGCACTTACCGCCAATATAGAGAAGGCCTTCTTGAATGTTGGAATCGCCCCAGAGCACCGCAACTATCTCTGGTTCCTGTGGATTGATGATATCCTAAAGGATAATCCTCAGCTGGTGGTGATGCGCTTCGCAAGAGTAGTTTTTGGAGCGAATTCAAGCCCTTTTCTCCTGAACGCGACAATACGTCACCATCTGAGTTTTTATGCCTCTAGCGATCCAGACTTCATGGAAGATGTCCTGCGGTCTCTCTACGTAGACAACTTGGCATCATCTCGCCCAAATGGAGCCTCTGCTTACGAATTCTACCTGAAGCTCAAGTCCAGATTTAAGGAAGGAGGATTCAACATGCGCAAATGGTTAACCAACAATCAGGACTTAGCATCGAGGATACAGTGTGAAGGCCAATCAGAGCTACACCCCGCTATTGAACTACAACAAGATGATCAAACCTTCTCAAAGTCACAGTTTCATCGCCAGACAAGTGAAGAGCTTCCGAAGGTGCTTGGGACAGCCTGGGATACAGAAAAGGATCACCTTGTGTTTTCATTTGAAGGACTCACCATCTGCCTTGAAGAACAGATTGTCACCAAGCGAGTCGTCCTCAGCTCAATAGCAAAGATTTTTGACCCCCTCGGAATCCTTTCCCCAATCTTAACAGCACTCAAGATTATGTTTCAAAGCCTATGCAAAGTACAAGTGGACTGGGAGTCCCCCTTGGATGAAAATGCCGCTAGTCATGGAAAGCTCTCCTTAAAGACATGCAAAGAGTGTCAAGGATCTCAATCAAAAGGTGTTACCTCTCTAAACTGAACTGTATCGAAGAATGCACAATTGACCTTCACGGATTTGGGGATGTATCAGAGAAAGCTTATGGTGCCGTTGTCTGCTAGAGAATTGTATCAGGAAGCTCAGTCGAATGCAAAATCGTTGCCTCAAGGACAAGAGTAGCCCCCATCACCGGAGCAACCACGCCTCGAGTGGAACTCTTGTCAGCGCTAGTGCTCGTAAGGTTAATAAAGAGTGTTTATCAAGCTCTTCAGCCAACTCTCAAGATAAGCAAGACGTATTGCTGGTTGGATTCAGAAATCGCACTTTGGTGGATCGCTGGGACGGGAAAGGAATTCGAGACCTTTGTCCAAAACAGAGTCAGAGAAATTTGAGAGTTAGCTTCCCCAGAAACGTGGAGACACGTTGCCTCTCGTGGATGCAAGGCATCTGAACTAAAGAAGGACAAGAAATGGTGGGGAGGCCCAGACTTTCTAAAGAAAGAGGAAGAGTCCTGGCCGGAGCGAAAGAACTTTGGCTCATTAAACATGGAGTTGAGTGATGTCAGTGAAGTTAAGAAGATAAGTGAAGTAACAACCAATGTTGCTGCCGCCTCAGTGGAACGGCTGGAAAACGTAATACACCCTCAAGATCACAGTGATTTGTTCAAGCTCGTTTGGATAACATGTTACGTACTGCGTTTCATAAAAGGAGCTTGATGGCAGCAACCTCAACCGCAAGGGTGTTCTTTGGATGTCGAACTAGACGAATTGGAAGAAGCTGAAAACCTGTGGTAGAGCATGTTCAGAAGCTAGTGAAGGCAGAGGACAAGTTCGACCAGATACGAGTATCATTGGGTCTATTCAAAGATGATGAAGGAGTTCTCAGATGTGGAGGAAGGCTTCAGAATGCCCCCTTGCCATATGCAAGGTGATTCCCTGCAATTCTACCCAGGAAGCATCACATGACCGAGTTAATAATCAAGCGTCATCACAGCAACATAATGCATAATGGTGTGAAGGACACTCTGACTGACCTACATTGAAAATTTTGGATAATCAAGGGCCGATGAGCAGTTTGTGATGTAATCTCCCGATGTGCCACTTGTAAGAAGCTTGAGGGGCTGGCATACAGTGCACCTCCCCAACCACCCCTTCCAGACTTTAGAGTCTCCGACGACTTTGCCTTCAGTAGGATCAGAGTCGACTTTGCCGGACCGGTATATGTAAGGGATGTCTACTCAAGAAGCAAAAGAAGTAACAAGACGTACATCGCAATTTTCACTTGCGCATCATCTCACGCGATTCACCTCGAGATTGTGCCAGATCTGTCAACATCTTCATTTGTGAGATGCTTTAAGCGGTTCATTTTCAGAAGGGGACTGCCACAGTTCGTCATCTCAGATAATGGAAAGACCTTCAAGGGTTCAAGTTTGAAGACCTTTCTCATGGAAAATGGCGTAACTTGGAAGTTTAACGTTCCACACGCCCCATGGTGGGGCGGGTTCTTTGAGCTTATGGTACGTTCTGTGAAACGTTGCCTCAAGAAGACGCTTGGGGCATCGCGAGTTGCCTACGAAGAATTTGAGACAACATTGGTAGAAGTCGAGGGTATTCTCAATTCCTGGCCACTGACCTACGTCACTGAAGACTTCGAAGAACCACTCACACCGTCTTCACTATGCATTGGACGTAGACTACTCAGTCCGACAGGAAACCCTCAAGTCGTTGGAGCACAGGGTAATTTGGCACCATTGTCAAGGCGCCAAAGGTACCTGGACACGGTTTTGAAACACTTCTGGAATCGTTGGCGCAAGGAATACCTCGCGGAGCTTCGAGAACACCATCGTGGTAAGAAGACACCTCAAGCATGAGTTATAAAGGGTGATGTCATCTGTGTGCATGAAGAATTCACACCTCACCAAAGTTGGAAGATTGGCCTCGTTCAAGATTTAATTATCAGAAGAGATCAAGTTGTTCGAGCCGCCGTAGTTCGAGTACTCTCTTGTGGACGAGGAATAGAAATCAAGCGGCCTGTTCAAAAACTGTATCCGGTCGAAGTCCCAAAGGACTCTGGTCATGATGTATCTGACGGACGGAATGCTAGAGCAAATAGAGGGACCTGCTATCAGATTCGTTCCTGACGATGACGTAGAAGTCGTGAGAAGTTCTTAAATCAGACGTTGTCGAACAATGATAAACGAATCTCTTAGGACTTACCCTTTGATTGACTAGGTCAATCAAGGGGGGGAGTGTGTTATAAATGATCTCATCACGTGAGCTCTTAAATCGAATGTGACTCTCAAACTTGTTTTCTCTATAGGATAGCATTTAAAAATAGATTGATTGACACTCGTAGCGATAAAGTCATTAAGGAAAAATGTTGTAACTCGGTATTCACTCAAGTTGTTCAGGATTCTTTGCTCAGATTTTTCTCGATTCGGAACGCGTTGTGTGTCTACTCAATGTACCAGGGTTATTAAAGGATTTTGTTCAAGAATTTTGGTCGTGGAATTTGTTTAAGGAATTAATTCACTCTGACATTTTAGAAACTCAAGAGGTAAGTCGCGATTTCACTGAATAACTTTGTAGTTAATCTTTTAAGCATAAAAATTTTCTTGACTCTAAAAAGACCTATTTTAAACATGTGCAAAATTTAATCTTCTCTATCTCTGTTGCAATAATTTTAAAAAAGTTGAAAACTTTCAAAAAGTTTGGTGCACTATTCAACATTGTAATGGAAAAATTTCAAAGAAATTGATTGAAATGGTAATTTTTTATAATTGTTTTTGGCAACCTTCTTATATGTGTTGTCTTGCCCACCCGCATTACTTTTATGAACGATTTTCTCCTTAGCATTGGAAGGGTTAGGCTTGTAAAGGCTATACACATGTAGTGTGTAAAAATATCTTTTTAATGATATATAAACATTAAAAAAGTTTTTAAAATTAAAAGAAAAAATAAGTCAAAAAAAATAAGCTTTGCCCACCCAAAAATTTGGAGAGGTGTTTTTGTGGAAAAGTAACTGTAAAAATCGTTCTTTTTGCAAGAATAAGTTGAAACTTGCAGGAATATGATGAAATTTCCATAGCTACATCGTGTCCAAATTTCAGCGCTAACCCTCGCATTTTAAAGAAAATGATATTTTTTAAATTCATCTGAGTTCGACTTTGTGAAAAAAAAGTGAAGAAAGCATCTCAAGTATAGTATACATGCTATAACTAGCCAGCATTTTTTTCCTTCAAAATTTTTCAGATTTCTATTTAGCTAGGGTTAGCCCCAGGGTACCCGTGGAGGTCCTTTAATTGGTCTTAAACATATCCTGTTGAAGTTTCATGAAAAAAAGTAATTTTCTTCATGTATTCTACCATCTATGTTGTCTTGCCCCCTTTGGTGTCTTTGACCTTCTGTAAATTTCAAAGAATTTAACGTTGCGTTTTGAAATTCATCTGGAAGGTAGAGAAGGGCCTAAACTACATCACTGCACAATCCAAAAGTTGTAAAATGTTAAACCCGTCAGACAACATTGACTAGGGTAACTCGTGGGGAGGACAACACTTCAGGAACCTAATTAGGGCTAGGGTTAGGGTTAGGTTAGGTTCCTGTCTGACATTGCCCACCTTAAGTGTTACCTTGCCCCCCCTCATAGTGCTACCTTGCCCACGTAGTGTTACTTTGCCCCCTCTTAGTGTAACATGACCCCCTTTCATGGTGTTACCTTGCCCACTTTGTGTTACTTGGCCCCCACTTAGTGAAACATCGCCCTCCATGTCATTTGCATAATTTATTCACAGTGTCAATTTGTCTTTAGATCTTACAGATTGTGGGTGAATTTTGTCAAATTTGGTTAGAAGACTTATTAGGCACTTCTTTTTCTTGTGGACTACTTGAAGTTTTGTGTGTGTCTTTTGCACATGTTCTGTGGGGTGATGAATATGCACATAACAAAACAGGTAGAGTTACTGTTATGGAAACAGTTTTTGGGGTCACAGAATGTTACAAAGGTGTACATAATTTTTCCAGACGAGCCGTCATGCATTTGGCTATCATTTGGAGTACTTTGAATGTTCTGGATGTCTTTTGCGCTGGTCTCTGAGTCAATATAAAATGGACAGTTGTAGGACTACGATACAAACATTTGCAACAACACACTGGTTTAAGATATGAGTGTTTTATTGAAAATCATTGAAGTAGCCCCTTTAGTCTGGCCTCTCTCCTTTCGTAGAAGTACAGCATTTGTTTCTGACATACTTCAATGTGAAATCTGTTTTGTTTTTTATGTCCTGCTCAAAAAGGTTTTTGATAGCCTCCTTCTGCTTGTCTGTTAACTTTTTTTCAGGTGTTGGTGGAACAACTGAGCTGGAGTGCATAGACGGTGGTTCCTCTGGATCAGGGGTGCTTTTACCCTCCATCTGGCTCAGGGTCAACTGCTTAGATACTGCTGGTGGTGCAGTTAGCTCAGACACAGAAGATGTCGATTCAATTTTATCAGTCGACTGATTAGCTGCTGCTGGTGGTGCTACTGGCCAGGACACGGGACATGGCGATTCATTGCGTCAGGAGTGCTTTCTTCAACAACCTTTGCTCTCGTTGATGGTTTAACTTTGTTGGCAGATGCTGGTTGCTTCTCTGTGTTAATGTCATCACCTTTTTCCGGCTCCAGTTTCTCTTCAGAAGTTACCCTGGCAATGATGTCAAGAGCCGGGGACCCCAGTTTGGTGAGACTGGTCCTCACGTAAGCCCTCTCAGCTGTCTTCTGTGAATGGCACATCACTTGCTGCACTATGGCTGCCTCCTCAGGCGTGGCCCATTCTTTTGTTTTCATCGACACAAACTTTCTAACGCTAACATTAGCCAGCTTCTCACCAATTCTCAACTTGGTCTTCAGGAAGAAGGCCTGTGTCCTTCGGCCAATAGTTCCTTCAGGAAATGGCTGGCCCTCTTTTGTCAAAAAGAGGTGGTTCTCGGATTGTGGAGCAAACTGGGGTCTTATCTTTTGGATGTAAATTTCCATAAGCTGCTGCAGTCCTTGTGTCATACCCAGGATGGCCGGACCCTCCTGAGATCGCTTATGATGGTCAACCAGCATGATTGTATTTCCCTTCTCGGTCTTGGCAGTCTCGTAGTCCTCGAGTGTGGCATTGTTTAACGGGCCTGGCCTAGTACCATTGTCAAGTGAAAAGATGGCAAGAAGGTCTGGCAGAAACGTATTCTTGAAGGGAGAGCACTTTCCCCTGGTCGGCTTGGTTAATTGCTTTGAGGCCTTCCACATAGGGCTCTAAAGTTTTCAACTGCGCCTTCTCAGCTGGTGTTAGGAGGGCGTCGCTCTCATCCATGAAATGCTGGTTTTGTTCAGCTTGGGTGTGACTATCTACAGTAGACCACCATCCTTTGATTTTGGGCAGGACTTGTCTGAGAATATAAATAAAATTGGGATGAAGTGCTGGCCCAGACTGGTTGTAACGTGGGTTGGTGACATAGGTCAGAAACTTTTCAAATGTTGTAAGGTACGAGATGACAGTTCCTGCCTTCTTGCTTCCACTATTCAGAGTAGGTTTGA